TTCTCCATTAAAAATCATCATCACCCCCCCTAGCCATAAATTATGAACGGTCCCTAAAAGCCGGCGTAAAACCCAATTCACTCACTCATGGTTGTGTAGAGCTTACTAAATACTGTATAGATGGTTCTGCAAACTAATGTTTACTCTCTACAAATAGATAATTTGATATAAACAAATTACTTAATATTGAAAATGAGAGTTTTTTAGATTCTGAACCTGATGAAAATCTAACTTGCTTCATGCAAGGCCTTTACATTCAAGAAAATGGGAAATATTGTGGTTGAGTGACTGAGAGAGATACTAGTTCCGGCTTTATTGCTGGTTCCTGGTTCTTCAGTCATTGGCTTAGCTAGTAAAGAACATTTCCTCAGTTGTGGTGTCAAATTCCTTGCATCTCATTTGCAGTGGTACTTTCAAGGATATCTGCTTCCAACAATCAATTTGTCATCGGATCTGAGACAATATCAGCTGTAAGTTTTGCTAAAAAACAACAACAAAGATTTCAATGCACATATCAATGTCTGTCTGTTTTTCTGTCTGTCAGTCTGTCAGTATATTTCAGTAGTGTTCTGATTACCCTACCCCCATTGTCATGATCTCGCAGCACACAGAAGCGTGCCGAGAGCTGGATTCGATTCCCCTTATGAGTACAATGTGTGAAGCCCATTTCCCGCGTCCCCTGCCACGATATTGCTGGAAAATTGTAAAAGTGGCATAAAACTAAACTCAATCACTCCTAAGTTATGGACAGTCCATTGGCCATGAAAAAAATGACTCTTACTTAAATGAGTTAGTTTATATTTTCAACAGAAGGGTGTTGTTATTTATAATGTATAATGCCTACTTAATAAAAAACCCAAATGATTTAACATTTTGTGCCCTCACTGAACTTCTCCATTCTCCATGCAACCATCCCAGTCTGAATTAGTTGTTGGTTCAAGAAAACAAACTGCAATGTCTGGACAGTTTCAGTGGAGGACAGTTTGTTGTAGGGCCTGTGTTTGACATTGGCACTCTTGTCCAATGTTTAGCACCCCTAGGACAAAGATGTTCAAACCCAACTGAAGGGTCAGCCTGACTGCTGCAGTCTGCACAAGACACCATCTGGAAGCTGTTGATGAAGCTGACAGGAGCTTCCATGACATTCCCAGAATGGTAGCCCTCTCCAAAACAAACAAGGCTGTTATGACAACATTCGAAACACATGCTTGAATTAAATATAATTAAACACTGGATTTGTGATATGGTTGAGAATGTGTTGGTCTCAGGGAAATCATTTGATTCTTGCACTTTGCCTAGCAACCATGATAAACAATGAAAACAATCTGCCTGCTGTTACAAGAGGTGGAATACAATCTTCCTGCCGTTATAGGAGGTGGAATACAATTTGCCTGTTGTTATAGGAGGTGGAATACAATTTTTCTGCTGTTATAGGAGGTGGAATACAATTTGCCTGCTGTTATAGGAGGTGGAATACAATTTGCCTACTGTTAAACCAGGTAGAATACAATTTGCCTACTGTTGAAGGAGATGGAAAACAATTTGCCTGTTGTTATCAGAGGTGATAATGAATATGAAGTAAAGCCCACAGATTTGTGGTTAGGTTGCAGCTGGGAAAGGTTAGCTTGAAATAAAACATGAGTTCAATTCATGAACCTGTGTTTGTGAAATGTCACGACATATTCACTTACTGAAATATATCATTCTTAATTGTTTTAAGTTTACTGACATAATAGTTTATTGTGTAGTAATCAACGTAAAACTATTTCAATGAATTTATGTTTACACTTCTAAATTGCTAAATGAGCAAAAATCTTCATTTCCCTTAACTATAAACAAACACATCTGTTCAGTGTGCTTATATGAAACATTTCTTATAATGAAAGGGAAGTTAGGACAGCCATTACTGCTGGACCAAGGGATAATGGGCTATAAATGTTTAATGTCCAGTAAACACACAATAAAAGCATCCAAGCTGGCCTAAGATCAGTGCACTTCTTCTGGTGATAAATATATGGGCAGATCCCAGGTAACCTATGGTAACTCCCCTGGTCCAGACAGCAGAACCTGATCGGAGTCTGACGTGAAGCCTCCAGTGTAGGGATGCCGTCAGGGGGGTGCCGGATGGTGTAGGGGCGAGGGCTGGTCAGACTAGTGCAACAGGTATTACTGCTGTAATTAAAGTTCTGCTGAGAAGAAAGTGACGAGGACGTCATGCTTTTGTTCAGTATAGTACATTTGAGTGTAAGGAGTTGTTGAATTAGAGCTCTGTATTTGGCTAAATGTTTTTGGTGAGAGGTTGGATGTGTGTACTTAAACAAGATGTTTGCATGTCACATGTTTGTGATCAATGTTTAGGGAGGTCCTGATGAAAGAAAATATTCAACATGTCAAAAGTGCTTTGGAGAATGTGGAAAATATTCAACTCAAAGCACAGGATGCAGATTGAGAAATTTCAAATTAATCCTGATAAAACTGATAAATTCTTGTCCCATATGTAGCAAATAAAATAAATTAGTTTTGCTCATAAATGATCCAACTAAAGCCAGGTGCATTCTGTGATTGATCCTGGAGGTCCTCCCATTTAGCTGATTGGTTCTAACGGTAGCAGTGTGTAATTCAAGTGGTGTCTTGCATTATTATGGATAAGTGGTCCTAAAGTCAGGTAGGTTTTGACAGTTTAATTGCCTAGGGATAGGTGGACTTAATTTTTGTCCACACCTTCACAAATCTTGTGACCCCTGAACAAGCAGACTTAAGAGATTAACCAATGTGCAGATCGTTTCACAGCCATATGATATAACCTTGATGTTACTTAACACTGACCAGCTCAATCATAGCTGACATGTTGCTGATGACATTTGGTCACTTGGTGGTGGTTTGATTGACAGGTAATATCTGGAACATGCAACGTTAAGGCCTCAGGTAGATTAGGCACAGATCATTGAACCCCCACTGGTATACATATGCTGGGGACTGAGGGATCTTCACGTCTGGGCAGGTAGGTTGCAGGTCTGGGAAAGGTTGGAGCAGGGATCACCCTAGTCTGTTACTGAAAGGTTGGGGCTAGAGCAGCAGCACGCCTGGTGCAGGTAGGTTGGAGCAGGGATCTTCCTAGTCTGTTACTGAAAGGTTGGGGCTAGAGTTAGCAGGGCACGCCTGGTGCACGCGTCTGGTGCAGGTAGGTTGGAGCAGGGATCACCCTAGTCTGTTACTGAAAGGTTGGGGCTAGAGTAGAGTAGCAGCACGTCTGGTGCAGGTAGGTTGGAGCAGGGATCACCCTAGTCTGTTACTGAAAGGTTGGGGCTAGAGTAGCAGCACGTCTGGTGCAGGTAGGTTGGAGCAGGGATCACCCTAGTCTGTTACTGAAAGGTTGGGGCTAGAGTAGCAGCACGTCTGGTGCAGGTAGGTTGGAGCAGGGATCACCCTAGTCTGTTACTGAAAGGTTGGGGCTAGAGTAGCAGCACGTCTGGTGCAGGTAGGTTGGAGCAGGGATCACCCTAGTCTGTTACTGAAAGGTTGGGGATCACCCTAGTCTGTTAGAAAGTAGTAGCAGCACGTCTGGTGCAGGTAGGTTGGAGCAGGGATCACCCTAGTCTGTTACTGAAAGGTTGGGGCTAGAGTAGCAGCACGTCTGGTGCAGGTAGGTTGGAGCAGGGATCACCCTAGTCTGTTACTGAAAGGTTGGAGTAGAAGCACGTCTGGTGCAGGTAGGTTGGAGCAGGGATCACCCTAGTCGTTACTGAAAGGTTGGGGGTAGCTGGAGTAGGCAGCAGGTCTACTGGAAAGGTTGGGGCAGGTTGGAGCAGGGATCACCCTAGTCTGTTACTGAAAGGTTGGGGCTAGAGTAGCAGCACGTCTGGTGCAGGTAGGTTGGAGCAGGGATCACCCTAGTCTGTTACTGAAAGGTTGGGGCTAGAGTAGAAGCACGTCTGGTGCACAGGTGAAAGGAGCAGGTTGGTACAAGTAGGTTGGAGCAGGGAGTTACTGGATAATCCAGGTGTGATGGATCTTAGTGTGGAGCCTAATGTAAGGCCACAAGTGGCAGGTATCGCAGTGATGTCTAATGGCACAGGAGTGGGTATTGTTCCTTTGTGCATGAGAATGTGTGTCTCTCAGCTGTCCCACACTCGTTGCAATTTGTGAATCATACCTGGTCGTCATCAATTACATGTTGATAATGGAAGGCCACATTTATATGTGTGCCCTCAGGCGTTTATGATACTCAGAGTTTCAGGATTAACAGTGTGTGAGCAAGTTCAAATTAAGTGTTAAAGGCACTTACAGTGAAGGGCAAGTCAATTAGGTCAAATTGTATGTACCTTCTTCCCAGAGGCTACTCTCATGAACAACACTCAAAGGCAGGTTTGCAAATGATGAAAACATCTTTTGGCTTTGCTTGTAAATTTGCCACTGCTATCCTTGTCCTGGTGTGTTTGATGTGGATAGATAAACTACTCCATAGATGATTCATGATTCATAGATACGGGGCAGGTTTCCTGAAGGGATGAATACTGATCAGTCTGAAATCAACAGCTTGTTTTGGCAAATGAAGGACATTGTGTTGACTGTTGTCAGCAATAGATTTAGTTGATGTAGTCACTGCTTCTAAACGTGCCATGGTTATGACTAATTGTGTATCAGCCGTGGGTAATTTAGACAGGAATGTCTCCTGAAGTGAACCTGGTACACAACCTTGGCCACGGCATGTTTTTTACACCCAGCCTAATGTGTATGTTCAGGTCTCCATACAAGTCCTAATCATAAACGTTAGAAGTGTTTTCTGTTGATAAAAATACATAATTTTATGAGATGTGACCCGCCACCTTGTCAGCGTTTGGGTTACCAAGTACTTCCCTGTATAATGGATTCCTATGTTTGTTTCATGTCTACTGCTTGTATATGACTGGATTAATGATGAGCAACATAATCTAGAGTCATGCCGACTCTTGGACTTATTATTGTAACTGTTTTGAAAGTGAACTCATTTTATGTTGCAGGAAGTGACGATATCCTCCTTTCAACATATCCAAGGTGGACCGGAAATGAGAAGAGGTTTTTATTAATTTCACATCATAATTCCTTTGGATTCCACAGTATTACCTCACCATGTCAGTGAACGGAGAATATGTCCCCTCCCCACGGCCCCATCCACGTGTCCGCCCTGAGGCCATGTGTAATGCAGAGAAGAACCGAGGAGGGATTGAGAAGTGGTTTGACTATTCCGACAACATCAACAACTACAGCTCCCCACGCCCCGGTGTACGGAACATATCGTCCGAAGCACAGAAAATAGCTGACATCAACAAAGGTAGTATGAATACCATGCTGCAGGGCTACCCAGATCCCCCAATCCAGCGACAGATCCACCCCAGAGGCGTCACTGGGGAGGCAGTGGAAGTTGCCAACTCCAACAAAGGGCAGGATATGAAGAGACTTATTGACAATTATGGCAATCTGGAGGTGTCGGACAGACCAGGGATCAAGGTGAAGGGCAGTGATGCTGAGGAGTATGCTGTCAGGAATAACGGCACAGTCAATAATGTGATGAACAATTACGGTAACCACCCCCTTTCCCCTGCCCCGCCCGCCAAACTGGGGCTAGGCGGTGAGGAGGTTGCTGTCAAACACAAGGGTGCTGGCATGGGGCCCGTACTACGGATGGAGGAGAAGAGGTCTCCGAAAGAAATCAAGATCAGCAGTCTTCATCAGCAGTCAGAGGGGTGAGTCCTTACACATTTCAGGGCTATTTGATATAACTGGTTTTGACTGAATAAATGTTTATTTACTTAATTTGAAATGTCAGTGTTAAGGAGAAGAAAAAATAGCAATTATTTCCCCCAAAATTATGCCCTTTAGTGGTAGCCAGAACCTGCATGTCTACCATGGCAGCCATATTGGAAGTCTTGCATTCTGTACGGGCAGTTTTTCCAAGGATATGAGGATATTACCAGTATTTCTGATCACCAGAGTGATCCTTGAGAAAAAGCCCATGCTCAATGTCTCTGCTCAAATTTTCATCACAAGGACAGAAAATAGGTCACTTGATCTACATATTGACTGAAGTTATGGAATTTTTGGAGCGTATTCCAGAAATGCTTTTGACTACTTGTTCCTTTGAAGAGATATAACAGTGCATGTGATGCTATGTTTACATCATTGTCTCAGTTTAACATTGGCTCAGACATCTTAAAGTGAGCCACAGTGCCTCGCACTTCTTTCTCCAATTATATCTCCAATGTCCGAGGTGACTTATCCTTGAAATGTACAATACTGTGTAGGTGGGTAGCAGTATATCGGTACCAGTATATATAGTGTCTTAAGTGACAGTCATCCGTGAAGGTCCAGGTTAGAATTGGTCTTCAGTAACCCATGCTTGTTGTAAGTGGCGACTAACAGGATCAGGTGATCAGCCTCACTGACTTGGATGACACATGTGATCGTATCCCAATTGCGTAGATCGATGCTCATGATGTTGATCACTGGATTGTCTGGTCCAGACTCGATTATTTACAGACCACTGAGTTATAGCTGGAATATTTATGAGTGTGGCATAAAACTAAACTCACTCACCTAAGAGACACTAGGACTAGTCTCCATGTAAGATACATACCCTCATGTGAGACGACAAATTTATGATTCATCCGCCAAGCCCACTCATCACCAGTGTTACCTGCCCTAGTTGTGCTTGTATACCTGACCTGCTTGAAGGAAACAATACCTATATAAACATGTACAACATGGGACATGCAATTTTGGCCAATAATTTAAACATTGATGTTGACATATTACCAATTATCATCGGCTGAATATGAAAACAAGACATTTGGTTCAGCAAATAATCTCTGAAAGTAAAAAGAATTATTTTAAAGCTGTTATCTCTGTCATTCTGTCAACACTTCCACTATTCCTTCTGTTATGTGTAGCATAGATAATGCATTCTTCATACTGAGCATTTGACAGAACTGAATTCTGTATACGAGAAACTTGGTCACTAAGATCACAGATGTCACACACCAGGACCAGAAATGTCCAAGAGCACAAAAGGAACTGTCTTTATTGCAATGTATGTTTGTCACAACAAAGTGTACAGCTGCCCAGGTCATCAATCTGTTTGACACAAATTGACAAGAGTCAATCCATTTGACTTGAAAATGACGTTGTCTGTAGTTCCCTTGGGTCTGACACAAGCAGCCAAGGTAAGGCTTGTAATCATGGCTAATGTGCCTGTCACTATAGGCAAGGTCTGGTCATCCATCAAACTACATCTGAAGATCACATAAATATTATTTGGTGAGGCAAGTCATTGTGAATTAATAGCTTAATCTTGATTAATGACTCTTAACCCCTTTAGCTTGTGTAGTCCACACACACAGCATACAACAAGCTGGGAGCATTTGTGGCTCATAAGTCACTCAAAGCTCACCATATTGGCTTCATGATAATTCCTCTTAGCCTGGTAACAGTTGAATAATATGTTGAGCTGTGTTCAAAGAGTAATAGCTGGATCATTCAGTCACCACTAACTAGTAACAGTGCAAATATTGTCCATGTTATTCAGTAATATATGCTTCATTAGAACTTATTGTTTTCAATAAATATATATATGAAAATCGATTGCAAAAGGTAGGGCTGGCTATCAATATTAATAAATCATAGATCAGTTATTGTTAACTAAATATCGATCAGTTATCGATAAATATCAGAGGAGAAACTTTGAGCAAATAATTTCAAATCACTTGTGAGGGATTACGCATTTGTGCATCGATTCCTGTGAAGACATGTATGTTTAACATAAACATGAGAGACTGTTGCCTTTACAGCAACGGACAATAAACGGTCTCTTTAGGTATATTCAGGGGTGGAAATAACTTTACAATTGCTAGTGTACTCTGGTACAGTGGCACATGTAAAATATCTTGCCCTGATGATTTTTTCCACTATAAAGTCTGATTTTCTTGTTGATCTGTTAAATAAACACCATAATTAACATTGTAAAGTCAACTGGACACCAGTACAACGTGATATACAAATTAGCTTGCCCGACAGAAAACAATACTGGCCTCGGACGTTGGGCAATGTGTTATTTCCACCCCTGAATATTAAAACTTTACATCATCACAATGTATGATGTTACAAATGACACAACTGTCATATCTATAATCGTTAATATTTCTTCCCATCTCCAATATTTCCAAGTATCGATACTTTTCAAAAGGTGAGAGTTTTTGTGTGATGTTCCATGCATTACAACCTGTGACAGTGATGACACAGCCCTGAACATGCAATGATTCATCATCCCCTCTTCATCCGATGGATGTGTCTAGACTTCCAACTGTATCGTAATGTTACACAATGCTGCCAAATAGACCATCATGATAGGGGATTAGACAGTTTTATGCCTTGTCAGAGAGCTGGCAGTCAGCAGGTGACCTGCTTGGTCTCTGTTCTTCACTACTGTGAGGGCAGTTTACCTGCTGCACAGTGTGAACCCTGCAGCCATATAGAAGAAGGTTGCTAATGTACTTGGCATGCTGTCCAACTGCTGTAGTTGTCCTTTCATTAGATCAACACTACAAACTTTCAAACTATTTTATGTTCTGCTGGCACCCTCCAACATAAGCAGTGCAGGACTCAATTAGTCTGTACAGCAATTATGTCTGACTTGCATTCACTCACATATTCACAAAGGGTGAATTGCCTTTGGTTGGTAGGTCGTTGAAGGCTAAGCTCTTTCTTATCCAGTGGCATTTGTTGCTAGTAATGTTGTCCAACTGATTACACCAGTAATCAATACAACTTATTTGAATTGTATCTGTACAATGTGTGAAGCCCATTTCTTGTGTCCTTTGTCACGATATTGCTGGAGTATTGCTAAAAGCGTCATAAAAAACTAAAACTCACTCACTCACTTACAGGTACTTATGACTCCATTCTTATCTACATGTAAGCCTACATGTTCTTGTGCAACTTATAGGAGTCTCTCCTCTTCCTTGATAATATACTGAAGATTGGTCTAGTCAACAGTGAAAATAGATTTATTGCTCATGTATGATAACCAATTACAAAAAATCAGTTGGGATAGTGACATGTGTATATTTTGTCTGGTGATAGCTTGTAGTTATAGGCAAAGGATGTAGTAGTAGGCCTTCCTGGCTGTAGTTGGCCTGTATATTCAATACATACACCAGTTACATGTTGAACATGACAATAGCGTATTGTGTTTGTTGACAGTTTGTTGACAGCGTCACCTCACTGCTGCAGTTTGCTAACATCACCCCATGTTGTATAGGTGTTATGTATGTAGCTTGTGTGTGAGAATCACGCAAGGGACACATGGAAGTAACTTCTTTGCGAAGTAGCAGTATTTTGCTGTACAATATTACAAATCACTATAGCCATTGTCTTGGCATTCTCTTCCCACAGAGGTTACTCCTGTCATATCTTCCCACGTAACCTCTCTGTTCTAATACGGCCCTTTCATGGTGTGGCGTTCAAGACTGGTGATTGGAGACAATCAGATTTAGTTGTGCAATCAGCGACGTTGTTTCAAAAGTGATCATTTGCAAGGCCTCGGTAATTTCCGTATGCTTCGAGAAAACTAAACTTCTTCCCCCGCGCGACGCATAAGCGTTTCTTCTAGACAGAACTCAGTCATGTTATGGCGGATCAGTGAAAATCTCCATAAGCCCTCGTTGACAACGGACAAGCTAGCCATTAGGCGTCTTGTGTGTAACATCAACACAAGTCCCCTGCAGATGGTGGATATTTGTGGCCCCACATTTGCTTGTGTTAGTCAAGTTGAATCTAAGTCGATGTAACAGGTGTTCTGATTGGATAGAAAGAAGGGGAGATAATTCGTGTTGCGATCTTTTGCCGCTAGGGGATTTTCACGAGAACCGGAAATATGACCGTATTAGAACAGAGGTTACGTGGGAAGATATGACAGGAGTAACCTCTGTGGAAGAGAATATTGTCTTAAGGGGTCATATCCAAACATGTCTGAGCCTGTGTAAAGAAGTACTCAATTTTCAATTGTGTGAAGCTGTCACAACTTACTGCCCAGATTTGTGACCCTTCGCATTGCACCAGGATCTGCTGGGTTTAAAGCCCTGATTGGTCTGATACACTTTGACATTTTGAAGTACTTAGTACATTTCATTTCGAGATCTGGTGCCTCAACTCAGCTCCTGCCGTCTTATTTCTTCATTTGTCAGAAACTGCTGTTTAAGGATTGTTTATCATTATTTCATCACAGATGATGGCTGCTACTTCAGTTTTGAAACAATTATAATCAGGTTATTTAATTTATGGAAATCTGAAGTGACCTTAGGTGACAACAGTAATGTTGCTTGCTACTTGTCACCAGTTAGTTCTGGGCAGTGTTTTTCTAGACCTCAGCAAATGAGTTTCAAGTCAAACTGAACACGGCGGTATGAGAGCATGGAGTACAGCAAAATACTGAACGCGTGGATCATGTGATAACTTCTGGTGATATGTAGTGTTATACACTGTACAAACTGCTGTGAGGAAAGAGGCTGAATCTGGGAATAGGCCATTTCTGTAAGTCATACATATGTCTACAGGTGAATGATTATTTTGACTTTTGAGAATAATTTATTTATCACAATTTTCAGCTGCTGTCACAAGGCTTTATTTATTTCAGTGAATATGTGTAAAGTCTGTCATGGTTGGAAACATACAAAGCATTGTGGTGGTATTA